GAGATTTTCAGCAAGATAAACAATAAGGTCAGCATCATTAACAGACGCATAATTTCCAGCCTAAAATTCAGGCTGAGTAGGTTTTGATACAGATTTCATTTTCTATTTTCCTATTAAAACAAAAATACTTAAAAGGCCCTAATAAGCTCCTGTTATCATTAAAACAAGAAGGAGGTATTATGTTAAAGAGAAAAATCTGTTTTTATATTCAGTGCCTTGGAGCTTTTTTTGCACTTAAGCACCGTTTTTGTGCAAAGTTTGTTTTAGCAGCATTATGTAGCAGACAGCAGATAGAGGGAGAATGATACTTAAACACATTTTTTCTTGCTTTTTTTATGTTTTTATTTCCTGTCTTATAAATGTCAGCTTCATTTCGAAGGGGTCCTGGCTTTGTTTTTATTTACGTTCCCACTCCCAACCTAAAGTGGTCCAGTAGCCAAATTATCCACTACAAACCGGCATTAAAAGAGAGAAATGTAGCACTTTTAACGCTAAAAAGTGTATTTTTTAGTGCACTTTTATTTCTTACATGTCAAGAAATGCATTTCTTGACATATAAATCAAGAAATGTATTTGACCAATAGGGTCAAGGTATTTCGCTGTGTTACGCAGCTGAACTCTTCTTTACAAAGTGTGTGACTTTTCAAGCCAGTTGCTTGCACATTATTTTATTTAGCACATCAGAATAAACGAGGGTAGAAACAATTATTATGGGGAAATTTGTGTTGGTTTGTCACATGAAATCTGTCTAGTTGCACCATGATAAAAACAGTTCAAGGTGTATGAATACCTACTTAAAGACACTTTGATGTTTTTTTTATGGTATATAACGGGTTACCGGTGCTCCGGGTGCAGCTCCAGCAACCCCTGTGAACGGAGGTCTCATCATGGGCTGCCCCATCATAGGTTGGCTCATCATGGGCTGCATCATTGGGACCCCTGGCCCTCCAGCAGGAGGCTGTTGGAAAAAAGAATGAGATCAGAAATCATTACTATTTCTAAATTAATTACAAATATGTTGTATTTTAAACAGTGATTCAATTGTTTTAGCTAATTCGCTAAGCACAGACATTAAAAGCTCACCATGCCAAAGCCAGGCTGTGCGCTCATTGTTGGCACCATTGGTGCACCAGGGGGCGCTGCGCCTGGCGCACCGGCAGCCTGAACATGCAGACAGATTATTTAGCTGTCAGAGGATTTTGGGTCAACAACAACGTATTGGTGCAAGTCAATAAGGTTAGAAAATAACAAAAAAAAAAAAAAAACTGATAAATTTCAGTAATTCAGTTTAAATTTGATATACAATTCATTAAACAGAAAGCGACACATTTCAAGCATTCATTTAATCAAATCGATATAAAATTTATCTAAAAAAATATTCATGTTATAAGTAATTTAAATATGACCAAAACATAAAATAATTTAATGAACTAAAATAACAACAACATATTAACAAACATAACATTTCCACTTAAAAACAATCCTGTTGGAGTTTTCTGGTTATATATTTCTGGACTGGACTTTGGGTTTTCATTTGCTTTGAGGCGTAAACTTCAAAATTCACAAAACTATTAATCAGTGCGTCAGTGATGAAGTCTTTATGTGTTTTTATCTGTGTACTGTCAGTAGAAAGCATCTTGGAATGCTATATATTTTGTTTTATTTTACTATTGTAATGAACATCCAGTTTTTTATGAGCTGCCAAGCGACTGCAGATGTGAATTAGCTTATGCTACAATCTGGCAGAGCGCATCAGATGGTGGCTTTTATGACTGATCTGTACTTTGTCCATTTCTAAATAAAGTTTATCATCTTTATGAAATAAAGACTTGAAATAAATCACTCTGTGCTTTAATTTAATGACTCTAAATATGAGTTTCACTTTCTGAGACACAAATGGGTGTAAGTATATTGTTTAGTCTTTTTTTTTTCCCTAAGCTTTTACAAAAACTGCTTCCTTTCAACTCACTGCAAACTCCTGGTTTTCCTTAGATGGAAACTTTTTAAACTACTTTGAATAATTAATTGCACGTACTGTGTGCTGTTTGACTAGGAACAACTGGAATGATCGTGTGATTGAATTGAAGGGATCTTTTGGAGCAAGAGGGACTCATAAACAAGTTCTGTTCTGGTTCTGATTGTGGAGTTGCTGTTCTCACCATGGGGGCCCCTGGGGTGCCCCAGCTTGTGAGAGCGACCTGCGGCATCCAGTTGGCGCCTCCTGTCAGCTTCTTCTCACCGAACGGATCCCTAAAAAAAAAAAAAATAAAAATAGTTGCATTGTTAAATTCTGTCCAGATTATTTACTGAGGATTAGTCACTGACAGGACGCTTATTTTAACGGTGCATTTGCGTTCTTAATCACACACTTACTTCTTCTTCATTCCAAGGTCTGAAAAAATGAAAGAAAACAAAGAATTACCTTACAAAACCTGCAGTTTCTTTCTTTTTAAAAAAAAAATCATTTTCCGTGTGTTAATAGTTGCGGTCTACCTCCAACCAGGTTGGCCAGCGACGAGTCCAAGTCTCCTCCAATTGTTTTGGTGGGAGGCGGGGTGGCGGGAGGGAGTGCTGATATTCCTCCTGGTGCGCTGGGGGTCCCTGTGCTGCCCGCCGTGCTGCCTCCGGTGCTCTGAGGCGTCACCACCGGCATCAGCAAGTCGCCTAGACCGCCGAACACTAGCGGAGAGTCACGCAAGAAAAACAGAGAAACAATAACTGACGTGAGACTGCAGCATCCAGCTGAAGGCAGGCAGAGGGCGGAAACGTGGGAGCAGGCGGTGCGACAACACGGGGACGGTCCAGCTGTGGCAGCATCTGCAGACAAGCTGTGCATGGCAGCCACTGTGTCACACCGAACTGAGGATGCGATGGAGCATTCAAAGCTACGCAGCGGCAGCAACTGCAACCACGTTAGGTAGAAATATGAAAGCAGGTGACATCAAGGCCATTTCACCTACATTTTGTCAGTATTGTTCATGGAGAACACTCAGCATCCTCCATACCTACTGACACCTTAAGTTGTCAGTATTAACGTTTTATGTAAAATTTAATAATTTGCTAAATTTACCGCAGCAGCATTTCAGACTGAAACATGCAGAATCGCCTGTTGATTGATTAGTGTCTACTTTTAAGCATGATGGAGGATCTGTGATGCTGTGGGTCTGTTTCACTTCCTGACATAATGATTTCTCCCAAATTTCAGGTAAATTCGATTAAATATTTGTAAGAAAAATGAAAACGGGTTTTTTATCTGTAGGTTCAAAGCATTTGGGCAGGTTAGCGCAGATGTGTCAAAAACACAACATCTCCTCTTTTTACCTCACCATTTCAGACCTGAAGCCTACTGAAATGATGACATGACCTGCAAGACAAAACAGTAAAACGGAGGAAACATTGATCTGGATGACCTAGGAATATTGTGCAAAGCCTTTATACTCGCAAAATGAAAAGCCCAGATGCTCTCCAATCAAATCAAATTTATTTAAATGGCATATTTAAGAACAACTGCCAGTGATGAACAGTATTAATCCTCAAAATGGAGTGAAATCAAATAAAACACAAGATTTTTTTCTACATTTTTCTGTTAGATTATGCTGCTGAAATAAAAATTTTAATTTATTTCAAGCATGTCTATGGATCTATCCCACATGTGTCCAGAAATATGGAGGGCACTGGAATATCTTTAAAGAAATCCTTGTCCATGGTGCATTCATAACAATAATACTTTCTATATCTGCAGGTTTATCAAACATTACAGCTACAAGTATGGTGACAGGTATGAATAGCAAATGGCCTTGGTGACAAGTGGCTGCCCTAAAAATAAATACAGATAACAAAAATCTTGTCTCATGCGGTAGACGTGAGCACTTTTTTTGCGGCATGCAATGAGGAGAGAGAGGGAGCGCCGTCCAAACTGCACTGCAGAGTTGAACTCACCATTTACAGATTAGATGAAGCAAGCAGTGACCCAGCAGAGTGGAAGAGGACAAGAAGAAGGGAAGAAAAGAAGCAGAAGAAGAAGAGTGGGTGGAAAGTGAAGAAAGCACAGCGTTTGTGAGAGTGCAAAGAAAGTAAAGTCAGAATCGGGCAGCGGTGCTGAGGAGAAAAGCAGTCAGCAGGAAGAACAGCTGTACGTCAGGAGGCCAGTGACAGCGGTGCGTTTCAGTGCTTCGTTCATGCAGAAACCAAGCCGTCAGCGGGAAAAAGGAGTGAGGTCCGCTGTGAAAACAGCTCCTCGAAAAGAAAACCGAGCACACCAAGCAGAGCACCTTTACCAACAAAATGCTTTGGGGGTTTTTTTCCTTTCTTTTTTTTTTCTACATGACGAAGAATCAGGTCGTTAAAGGGAAACTCCTAATTCCACCTACTTGATGCATCGAAGCCACCAGAGGGCGCTGGCATGGCGGACGCAGGTTCTGACACCACCGCGGTCGGAGCTATGGGCACTACCGAAGCCGCAGCGGGTACCGGCGGTGTCGGGGTTGGGAGCGAGGCCAGCGAGTCGAAGCCGGTCTCTAGAAAGTCGTTCTGCACTGGAGCCGGGGCCAAGGCCGGGGCCAGGGCAGGGGCAGCCGTGGGAGCCAGAGTGGGGGAAATCAGGCCTAAAGGGAAACACAGAAAGGACCAAAAACTGTTCACTCTGCTACCAGACTGGATCGAATCAAGAGAGCAAAAATTTAAAAGGGCAGTTTTATGTAGTTTCCAGCCACATAGATCCATTTTATAGCACAATCAAGTAATAATTGGTTGTAATAAAAATACTGTAAATATCAAAATGACATAAAAGAAATTTGACTTCATAATTTAATGCCTTGAATCTGGGGCTCTGTCTCTTTAAGAAGCTCCTACTCTTTGACAGTGCATCTGCAGGAAGTCATCACAACATTCATCTATAAAGCGTTTGCACCCTTAGGAGTGTTTGCACTGAGAAGTAACTCGTATGAGCTCAGCACTGTGCAATTAGCAGTGTTTGCTAATTGCTGCTGGCTAGTCTGAAGGAGCCTCTATGTGGAGGAGCTATGTGGAAAAAGCTGTGCTTTGTGACACAGGTGTTTATGAACCCTGAATGGTTGCTATGGGAGATTAAAGGATTTCTCTAACATGCAGTAAAAAAAAAAATCAAAGCAACACTCCAGGTGTGTTTTTGATGATTGTTCTGCTTTGTTCTCCTCATGTGACCTGGTGCGTCCAGATTTACCCTCTTTCTTCCAGAGTGACTGGCGCATCAGGGTGAGGAGAGCAGCGGATGAAGAGTCAGGCCTGGAGTCTACTGACAACCTGAAGATACCGAATGACTATTCCGTTAGCAGATTGTTTCACTAATAGACACTTAAACATACCAACACTTTTACTGCAGCTGATGTAAAAGTACAATTCAAACTGGCCAGGTCTAAACGAAATGAGCCGGACAGAACCGAGGCAGAACAAATCTTGAAGGATGTATGAGGTGAAATATTTCAAATGAGTCTCGAGCCACTCTGGAACTGCTGTGTATTTAATATAAGTTTGCTTGCCAAGTCTGTGGAACAGGAACATTAATCTGACTAATGCGTCTCTATCGTTACTCACTGCTTGCCATTTTCATCAGCACAGAACATTTCCAGCAGCCATTTCCCTTTTTAATTTAAATACTCAGATTTTATAGATGAGCGCGAGCGCTAGCGGAGGCTAACCTCCCAGCAGGTCGGCTCCCGGCACCGCAGGGGCAGAGCTTTGCTTCTCCTCCACAGGACCACTGAAGGAGTCTATAGAGAGAGGGGTGAAAGGTCGACTCAGCATCAATTAAAAAGAGACAGCAGGATTTAGATATATGAAGTAGCTGAAAGGTCGACTTCTGCTGTTTCAGCACAGGAATCGCTATTCAGTGGAAATATAATTTAATTTGTCTGAACTGAAAACAGCTTCTTCAAAAAATAAATACAGCAAAAGGACTCAGTGACTACAAGAGTCACTGTAATTATCAACTCTGAAATTATTTGAGGTTCTTATGCATCACAGATGATGCTTAAATTCATTTTGCAGGTGTGGTTTCAGGGTATTTAGTGATAAACAGTAGTGATTTGATGTATATTCTTCATCAGGGTTTATATACTGGGTCTTTCAACCAAAACATGTATTGAGAAATGTAAAGTTAAAATTCAAGGATGACATATTTTGGGTCTCAGGAAAACATCAGCAAGATGTCAGACCAAATTACCTCAGACTGAAACGACATCACGTCCCAGGACAATAATAATAATGTCATGTCGGATTCTAATTTCTTAACCCACATGCAGAAACACAACAGAGAGCACCAGTTTTATTTGTGTGAGGTTTATTGTAAGCAAAACAGGATGATGGCAGGTGACATGGGGCATGGATCTCCTCTCACGGCTGACGCCAGAATTCTAAGCACAGGAGGACAGGGAGGGTTAGTTCTGGTTCAGTTTGGAATCTTCAAGAAAAACAAAACGGAGTCGGGGAACCTACTTGAGGTTGGAGCGGGTCCGAGCCGGGAGGGGAAGGAGCGTCTGGGGAGTCCGGGTTTGATGGTGGAAGGTGGATGGCAGAAGAGGCGGCGTCGGAGTGCGGACGGGCAGACAGGGTTTCCACAGCACAGCAGTCTCGGATCTCTGAGGGAGAGACACAAGGGTTCACTGAGAACTTATCTAGGCTAAATCTCAAAGCAGAGGTGAGAACTCTGGGGCCGGTAGTACCAAACATTGGTGACACTCTGGCAGTGAAGAAGCGATGACTCCCTCCTCTTATAGGAGCTGACGAGATTGGCACCAGGTGTGTTGGGACCAGAGCTGAAGGCCAACCCTCCAGGCAAAACCTCCGGACGCCCTCTGGTGGACAAAAGATGAGCAACCCCACCATCCCAAAAACCCTGGATCCCCACAAATAATCTGATTATGTAATCTATCATGTCATATCAGTGGTGAAGATGGTTAGTGTTTATTTCATAGACGTTTGGTTTGATATTCAAACCCTCTTCTTTAAGGATATTTCAGTCCAGTTTGCTTCATATGCTTTTGTCTTCTAAGGTCATTCAGTCTGAAGATGTTGTCCTGAGACATGGGGGATCTTCTAAAATGTATAAACTACACTGGTTTGTTAGTTGTTGAAGTTACAAATTTGTGTAACTTGACAACAGCTGGGACTGAATGCTTAAATAGTTTTGATCCTGGAAGGAAATTCTGCAGGAAATACAAAAGTGTGCACTTTGATGGCGTGTCTGTATTTTCTCTGCAGCGCAGGACGTTTGGTGACATAGACGGTGATCGTTATACCGAGTGTTTTTGTGCACTGTGATATTTATTACCCAGTAGGTCAATGACCGACTCTGGCTCTGGTTTGGGTGGAGAGGAGGCTTCTGGTACGGGAGTCGGGGCGGGGGCAGGAGTTGGGGCAGGAGAAGGAGTGGAGGTTGGAGCTGGAGATGTAAACGTATCTAAGATGAAAGTGGAAAAAAAAAAACATGATTAGATCAATTCAAATTATTTATTGACAAACAAAAAAGACAAGGATGTTTTATTCCGGAGTTCTTCTGCCTGTTATTGTTAAAGATCGAAGCACATTTGCGCACAGAAAAGCAGAGAGAAGCAAGCGTCCCGGCATCGTCACTGCGTGTCCACATCCTGGAAGCGTGCAGCATTCCGGGACAAGACGTCCGCAGCTAGCATGCAAACTTATCTGGCTGCACTCCTCATAACGGGTAAGGAAGAGAAACAGCCATGAAAGTCAAGATAAAAGCAGCTCGACTAACTCACCCGTCACAATGTCTCCAACCGGAGCCGGCTCGGGCAACGGAGAGGGCCCGCGTGAAACGGCAGGCAGGTCTAATTTACCGATGCAAGCAAGAGCCAGGATACAGGAAGGGAGGAAAAAACCATGGAGGTCGGGGGAGCAAAGAAAAGCGTTAGCGTGGCAGGTAGAAACGGAAAAAGAAGAGAAAAAAAGAACATAGACAGAAAAGCAGCCACAGAGACAATCCGGCAATTGACGAGTGGGGCGCATGCACATTTCTCATATCACTATGAGGGACAAATCAGGACACGGAAGGGAGAAAAATAAGAAAGAAATAAACTGTTGACAAAGGAGAATTACTATGGACACCAGAGGAGGTGAAGAGGCTCCACAAACAGAAAAAGGGACATCAACTCCTGTACCTGCACCAAAAAGGTCTACGCTAGGAGTGGTAGCGGCTTTGGATTCTGTGGTAGGGCTTTGCTCAGGCATAGTATCAAACATATCTAAGAACAGGGACAGACAACCACATGGACATTCAGATCCAAGTCCAGTGCATGATGAGTTATAAAGAAGAGAGATGAGGGGAAAGCAGAGAGAGCAGATTTGTTTTTTGTTCTTTTACTTTGATTAATTCAATGAGTCAGAAGCTGTGTAACGTTTCAGTGCAATGAAACAAGACAGTGCAAATGTTAAAGTGGAATATTGCTAAATTTCAAACGTCCACATATGTTCAATGTGAAATCTGTGCAGTTTTACTGACTTATTGGCTAAATTACGTGTGCATGTAATTTCAAGCACTGCGATCGAAAACTAGTGTTTCAACTGGAAACTGACCAAAAGAATAAAGTTAGTGTAAAGCAAAGTTATTTATCCTCAACAAGCCAATCTTTGTTGCAGGGTTACCATAATATTAGAAAAACACAGTTCCTACAAAAGTTAATGTGATTCTCCAACTTTCATCTCAAGTGTCTGTGGCCTCAGCTAAAATGTTAAAAAAAAAATGTTATTATTATTATTATTAATCAGGAGGTATCGGCTGTGACTCCAGATAATCATATTTTTAAATGATTGACATCAGGAGTCTCTGATGAAACCCAGCTCCTGATGCTGTAATCAGATCAGACAGGAACAAAATGTGGACTGTAGACTTCAGTGTAAAAGTCTTTTTCACCTTTTACAGTGAAAGTCAAAGTGTGAGAAACAGGCAGAGGCTACATGTCGCTAAAGCAGGAAAACAACTTCCTCTATAAGTTTATCTTTACACTCTCAACTGGAATGGCATCAAAACATATTAGTTATTTAGCTATATCAGCTAAATTATCAACAAGTCATATCAAAAAAAGAAAAAACTATGCTAGTATTAGCCTAGCACATTGGCTAACTGCTCAAAATGAAAAGAGTAGGAGCAAACAACTTTATTTGCTGAAAAGTTACATTTAAGTTAATTTTGTCTTACTTCAAGTGTACAAAAATATTTGAACTAGAAACTGGATTAAAATACTTGTGTTTTTGCATAATATGAATAAATTGAACTAAAATGAGCTGAATTTGTTTGTTAGGGGGGATTCATTCATTGTTTAGCTGTTCCATTATTCATTTTTCTAAATCAAAATGGTAAAAGACACATTTTCATCATCAAGTTCATAGATATTTTGAATGATAATCAAAATATCAGTGAATGACCAAAACATTTATCCTTTTTGGAGATTTTCCATTTGTAAATATTCCAATCACTGTTCAAGTTTTTGAAGCGAATCAGAGCATTTTAAAGAGATTCGTCGAGAATAAAATCTGAAATGAAGCAATATTCCATTTTAACGCAAGTGCATAAGCTACAAAAAGGCATTCTCAGAAGGATCTAAAGTTATAACAAACAGCAGAAGAAAACGGTTTTCTTCCCTTTTGGGTTTGGCACTCTTGTTAGTATTCAGTCAAAAAACAAAGCAAGTTGACCCACCTCTGTGTATAAAATGACATTTGCCTTTATGCCCCAACAAATCTAATTTTGTTTTGTTCCTCATACAAAAAAAAAAATTGTGTTCAATTTGTTTTTATGTTTTTTTATTCTTTGCATACAGATTCTTTTCTGCTATTACAGAGGCAGTCAAAGTGCTTGGATAACAGTAAACAAAACAATAATTTTGAAATGTATCACTGGCACCATCATCATAATCAGTAGCAAAGAGCAACATAATCAAGAGTCATCTAAAAATTCATCGTCTCTGTTGCCATAATGCAGGTAAAATGCAGTGAGTGAGTGCGAAATGAGAGCGAAAGGACATTACCACCAAAGATATCTAGAGTCGGGGCAGCTGCAGACTCTGTGGTGGTGGTGTCGGTGGTGGTTGTGGTGGTGGTAGTAGTAGTAGCGGAG